TTTAAGCTTGCTTGTTAGAGTCACGTGATGGGCAAAACAGCTGTGAAAATTCCCAAATCTGTGCCACACACAGAACTGTGTGACCAGAGTACTGTGATTAGTTGCTGTAGAAGTAGGAGGTCTTTTACTCAGTGAAGAAGAATCAGTCCGCCTTTGTATTTTGCTGTACTTACCGCCTGTATGCTGCCATTTGATAGAGAAGATGTGAAGTCTTGTGGAAGTTCTTTATGCACTTCTGGAGAAAGAGGGCACGTGTAAAAGTGAAGAGGGAAAGATGTGCACGAGGAAAAAGGAATGGCCTCTTAGGGCGACACTGCTTGGTTTTTGGAGAAGTCCACTGAGGTGGAAATAAGCATGAAGAACTTGGGTGGGTGATTTGCTTGTTTGTCTCCCTGAAAGATGGATCTGAGTACAGCAGGACAGGTTTAGAGGTGGTTTTACTTCAGCTACTGCTTCTTTCTGAGGAGTTAAACTGTAATCTTTTATCAGTCAAGTAGGATTTGGAAAATGCTTAGTCAGTCTTTTGGGAGACAGCAGTGCTTCTAGGAGATTTCAAGAAGGAGTCACTTAAGTTTAGAGTCCAGAGACAGAAAATCTTGGGAGGCATACTTGGAAAGGCCAGAGATATGGAGCGTGATTTGAAACTGCTCTGAGAAAAGGGAAGGCATAAGACTAAGCATCTGACTGAATATAAGTTTCATGAAAATCATCCATATGTAAGATTGCGCTGAGAGTTCTATGGCATAAAAATTGGATCTAAAAGGTTGATAATTCTTTTTTCTTCTTCCTGGAGTTCTTCTCAGTGGGAAACGTTGAATTTTGGCCTTTTCATTTTAAAAAGAAATTCCAAAGTTTTGGACTTCATAATGAAATAGAGTTTCCAAGGACTGGCTAGCTGTAGGAAGTTGTCTTTTTTCTTACAGTTTATGTATGTGGTACTATTGGTAGATAGAGATTCATAGCCACAGGCAAGTGTAGGTTTGCTGTGTCTATATTGCCTATCAATTTTGCTTTAGTGGTAGCTGGTATTTCACATGACCCTAGATACAGGAATAATCAAAAGCAATGATTTGTCTTACAAAGAAAAAAATACAGCTACTTCCTTTGACAGTCTTCCTGAAAATGCACTGTGCATCCTCTACCTTCCTGCTGCTGGTGTTTTCTCATACATTTTCTCTTCAGGATTATATTTGTTGGCAAAATTTTGATCTTTTTATGGCTTGGTTACTGTGTTCCTCTGAAGACTTGTGGGCGGTGATTATTCCTTGTGTTTGGTTTATTTTTTTGTGGTTTGGGTTGCATTTTTTATTTGTTTTGTTGTTTTTATTTTTTATTTGTCTCTATTCTAAATTGTCTTCTATGTATATGGGAGAAGATCTATCTGTTCTTGTAGTTCAGATATGCCTCTGAATATGATTGTGTGCTTTACACTAATCTCACTTTTTTGGCAGAAACATTATACTCCTGTCAGGGGATGTATCGCCTATACTTTTAAATTAGTTGATATTATTAAAAATAGTAAGTCTTTATCCTCTGCATGTGCTTTTTGTCCTTCTAGTTTCAAACTAGTATCTAAGTTGACTTTGTAATTGTGAGTTTGCATACATATTTTTTAATTTCATTTATATTGTGGAAATACAGAATCAAAAGGAAACTGCCATTCTGCTAAACCTTCTATATTCTGCAGTCAGATAATAAGATATATTTTCTGTCCCAAAAGTACCAATTTAGATTTCCATGTAGATTGTGCCCAAAACAGTGACAGGGTCAGGAAAGTTTAAGACCAGCAAGAGTTTCCCAAATCCTTTAATTTGGCTACACATCCTCTGAAACCTCTTCTTCTCCTCTGTCCTTTATACTATCAAGCAATCATTTGTGATTGATCCTCCACCCCTCATTTTACTGGGTGGATTTTCTATAATCATCTATTGACCATGGATAGCTTAAAAAGAAAAAAAATATTGTTTTGTAATTATTTTAATTTTTTTCTGTGCATGTTTCTGTGTGTATCTGGACATACTTGGTTAGAATCTGATTTAATCATATGTATATATTTGTATATATAGAGAAAATTATATATGTGGACTTCTAATACTGTAAAGTTATTTAGACTTGAAACTGGTGCTGGCTTGGTGGTTTTATTGGCAACAGTGGTAACAGGAATGCAAGAAAATAGCAGAACTGTGAAATATGACAGTAAGAACAAATGAGTTCTTACTGCCTGTGTCTTATGTGATTAAAAGAAAGTAGTTTCTATTAGAGCAAAAACCAACAGATATTCTTCACTTTCATAGCAGTCAAGACCAAGAAATGTCAATGTCAATTTTGGAAAAAAAATTAAAAAATCACTTTCTAAAATAGTGACTTGGGTGAAAATATCCAGCGACTACAAGACTAATATAACCCCTTCTCCAGCTGTTTGCATTAAAGTATACTGGAATTGTAGCATAGCTAAGAATATTTTCATATGAGGAAATTAATATTTGTCTGTGTTTTGCCATTATTTTGCCACCACATATGGAATCCTTTGGTTAGATATTTTTACAGTCACACTGATGTAGGGAGGGGGCACGTTTAATCTGGCTACATAAGGAGAGTGCTGCAGTATTGCCGAGGAACAGAAGCTCCTCTCCTGATTCCCCCCTAAGTGGGAAGAGCAAACCTATGGTGAACATTGAAAAATCCTAGTGAGATATTGGAGTGCTATCTATGAATGTTTAGATTAAACATATAGAAATGTATTTGTCCTGAGAGGAGAGGACTTGACGGATATGTACTAGAAGCTAACTTCTCCATGTCCTTGTCCCAGACTGATTTGTTTTAAGCAGCTCCCTGAAGTATGTACACTCTTCTACATACCTGTTTTGTTGAAAGTACACAGACCTGGCACCATTGTGCTTGCCAGGCATTCTCTTATCTCCTGCAAGCATTCAAACAAAAGTGTTCTATTGCTCTCTGAGTAATCCGTGGGTGATCTTAACATTGAGCAAAAGTCAGGACTGGAACTTATGTCTTATTTCTTAGAGCAGTAGTAGGCAGGCTCTGGAAGAAAGGGGAGGGGGTGGAGCAGGGAGAAGACAGCCACAACTCAAAATAAATAACTGAAGGGTTGTGAGTGTGTCCGTGTATGAAAACATTGCATAAGCATAAAAGTGCTGAAATGTTAGGCTAATACAAACTGAGTTTCATAATATACCCTGGGTTTAATAAAGCTGGTTTTACATGTGTGTTTTCTTAAAGTAGAGCTCTCAAACCAATCTATACCCAGTTTCTGTTTGAGTGCTAATTTTAGTCTCTAGTTCTACAAGGCAAATTTGGCATGTTTTTAAGCATACAGTCTTATTGAGCAACAGGATTTGTTAAATGCAATGTATAATACAGTGCCTTGTATACAGAGCGTCTTTAAGTCTCTTTTGCAATAATTATTACACTCTGATGGGGGAGAGAAGTTTAAAAATATCCCAAATAATTAATAGCAGCTTTTTCATGTGCCCCCTCCCTCCAGAGAAAATGAAAAAAGTGGTAACTGTTACATTGGCATTATCTGATACATTGCTTTCTGGTAAGGGAAAAATAGAAAAAAACCCAATTTAAATATTTTTTCTGAAAAATTTAAAAATTTCCTGGTTATTTTGTGGTTTAGTCCTGAAAGTTAACTTCATGCTCTGCTTAGAGATACAGTGTGGCCTGCTTAGTTTAATCAAGAGCAACACTTCTTTGTTTATAATTTTCTTATACTGCAACTAAAACTATGTCTCAGCTCTGGAAAGGGGAAACATGATGAGTCCCAGACTCAGAGTGGTATCTCTAAATGCTTTAGAGCAATCGGAAACACGTGAGCTTGAATTATATTGTCTGTAGTCTTTAGGTGTATATACAGAATTTCTTTGTGACAGTTTAGGACACAGATTTACAGGCAAAAAGTAACCTAGTTTTGGGTTTCTATCTGTTGCAGTCTGTAGATTTGTCTTGCCTAGGGAATTATTCAGTTTATCGTACAAGTGCACACACACGTGCAAAGCCCATTACAAAAAAGGGTACAAATTAATGAAGTGCAAAACAGGAAAAAGACTGGTACAGTATGCTAAAAATTATTTACTCCCATCACATATATTTTGATGCAACCTCCTAAATTTCTTCAAGATTTAAAATCTAGATTAGGAAAGTTGGATTTATCTGGCTTTTAAATGAATGGTCACTGTGCTTGTGAAAAATGAGTAAGAGAAGCACTATTTGAAAAATAATTCTTTGTATTAGCTGAGAACAATTCTTCAATATTTGCACAAATATTTCCTGTGCCTTGTGAAATGTTCCTAATACAAGTGGGGAATCAGGGTTCTATTCCTAAAAATATGTCCCTCTTAAAGATTTTTAGGTTTGTTTTTTTGTCCAGGTTAGGTAGATAGAAATCACTCTCTGAGCTCTTCTGCTGGGGTTTTCGATGCTGAAAAAAATACAGTATGTGTGTGGCACCAGAATTGGTTGGGAACAGGAAAGGCATATTTTGTATCCATACTAAACGTGTCAGCTTAGTGCATAGAAGACTTGACCCTTGTCAGGTGTTTTGAAGTTAACTGGCTGACTTATGGATTAATGAGTTTAAGACTGAAGTCAACCAGTGACAGGAATGAGCTTTGTTGTGTGAGTGTGTGTGTGTGGCTGTGGTGCAGATTTACAAATTTTTATAATGCTTTCAGTTGGACCATGAAAGTCTGATGTAAAGCTTATCTCTGATCTCTCACTATGGCCATACTTGTGGGATCGTGTTTGTGTGTTTGAGGGGAGAGAGATGAATTCTTTAACACTTGACACCTGGTTCTACCAGGTTTCTAGTCATAGTCCTAGGAATAGCACTATTCAAGGCGTTAATAAAGTTAAAACCCTTAAGCTGTATGACCAGTAGGTCATAAAAACTATTGCTGGGTATTGTGATCAGTCTTTCTTTTACAGCTGGATTATCATCCTGACAACTAATTCTTTTTTCTTTTGTCTTTTTATAGCCGTTGTGAACTTGGACAACTCTGTGGTTGACCTAGAGACCCTTCAAGCCCTGTATGAGAATGTGAGTAATCAGAGGAAGTCCATATAATGTGGGAATACTGTGTGTCCATGTGAAAGTATTTTTAATTTGCATCAGTAGTATTCAGAACACGTCCTATCTTGGAGTGACTTTATTTTCCCTAAAGCAATGAAAATACTAAGCATTTAAATTTCATTAATTGCCATTGTGTGTTTTATATAGTGCATACATTTTTATGTAAGTAACATAATCAACATCTAAATGACTAAACAGAAATTAGTTTTGTTCCTTTTTTTTCTTTTTGGGTGGGGCAGTCCTTGAAGAATAGTATGAATAGACCTTGCAGTCCATGTCTTTGACTTCACTTTATAACTTCACTAATATTGACAATGCTGTTCAATTAAAAAAAAAAATTTTTGATGACAGAAATCAATATATTTGTGAAACTATAGCTTTTAATTATTGTTACTTCATGAATTCCTCCAACATAATTTTAGGTCTTTGAAAGGAAAAGAATTTCTCTAAGGCAATGTAATAAAAAGTAGTATAAACTTCCAGGGGCTTCCTAAATGTCTGGTAGTAATAATAAGACCCCATTTGAGCCCTAGGTATGTAATATCAGGGATTCAGAATATACTCAGGCATGTTCTAAAACTTCACAAAGCCAGTCACGTACCAAATTCAAAAAAGTGGATCTCGGAAGCATGTTTCTGCCTCCAGATGAGGCCACTGAACATTCCCCCATTCTTTGAGTGTGTTACCCCTGATGTGGAGATCTGGCTAAACTGCTGTGGAAAGAGTGAAGAGGCTTTCTATATACCCTCCAAAGAACCTGAAAATATGAAGAGTAAAGCTGTGAGACACAGAATTGCATTGAAGGCCAATATGTGCTGTTGTATTGGATCCTTTATTTCCCTCATGTTGTAGTTTTGATAATGTTAACTAATTTTACACCTTTCAGATGTTTGGTTTTTAGAATTTAGCTTTTAGTGATCTCCTTTGGAATGATTGGTTGATTTATGAAATGTCTCATATATAATCCACGTTGAGGCCCAAAGAGAGAGTAAGCTCTAGTCCACTTTATAAAAAAACCAAGAAACTAAACAAAACAAAAGAAACTCAAAAATCTGACAAGAGCTAGGAAGGATTTTTATTTCATCCCTGAAGAACCAACTCACTCAACGCTGCTTAGAAAGATAATGTTCAAATAGGAAACCTATTCTAACTACCTCCAAATCTCTATAAACACTTCTCATCCTTGTGCTGCAACATTTCTGTTTTAGCCTGTGCTATTTTATTTGACATTATTTTTAATCTGCTCTCCTATAGCATAACTATTTCCCATTGCATACATTCTTTAGCATGCAAAAAATTGAAGTAATTTTATATATTACACATGCATCCTTACAATAGACTGTGTTGTGGGAAATATGGAATAGATACTGCAGTCATGATCTGGTTTTGCATCCATTCCTCTTTTATAGTGAACAAGAATTTTTTTTATTTTGGTTTAAAAAAATATAACTCTTATGTGGCTTATGTACTAATAGGGTACTTCTCAAATGTTTCCTTAATTTCATCTCTAATATACTTCATAATTCTAGTATAATGGAGAATTTGCAAATTTGCCAGTTCATTGAAATAACCAAATGTCATTGTATTCATTTTGTTTGTTACCCTCACTAAATACAGAAAATGTCTAGGAAATACTATTCTGATTGAGGAAGTTATATGTTAACCCCAGGCAAGACTCAAGAAGTTAGAATGCCTAATATATTTCTTTGCTTTGAATAGAAAACAGATCAGTCCAATTTTATTATATTTGCTTGAGTACAGACAGAAAAAAAGAACCACAACCAAAAAACCCAACCAAAAAACAACCAAAGAACTAAAAATCCCCTCACTTTACTTGGAGAGAGTTTTGTACGGGAAAATGATTTTTAATCCTGGATCTTCTGTTTGATGAAAGTGTGTCTTGAAAGAAATATTTTTTTAGTTGACTTTTATTTTCTGTTTTTACTTTCAGCCTTTTGTCAAAACACATCACACCTTGCATTTTTGTCTCTTGTTAGCTTTACTAATTGTAAAAATATTGTTCAATAACAGTTGTAAGCAATGGTTATACCAGAAAGCCTGGCATGTTTGACTCCTCCCTTATTTCTCAACCTCATCCTGTGTTGTAAGTGGAGTTAACTTTGCCTCATTCTTGTACTTTGTAGCCATTAACTTAAATTTTAGTTCTTAGGGTTTATTTATTGGATTGGGATTTTTTGGATTGGGATTTTTTGCTGGGATATTTAAATATCACCATCCTAATTCTCAGCCTTGCTATTTGATCTTTATGGAACATATGGGAGCATTTGTTTTACAGTCTTTCTTCAGAATGTAATCATTTTTTTTCTGATTGCATGTGTCTGGCATAGTGCTTTGCTTTCTTAAATGTGAATGAAATTTGGGCAGTTTCCAAACCTAAACACACCCTAATTTCAAAAGCCACAGTCCCAAGGGCTCAATTCCTGTTTACTGAGGAATTAAAGTCTTGTTAAACCACAAAGTTACTGTATACATCTTAGTGACATTTTATAAACGAAGAAACCCACACCCCACCAAAGATCCAAGCCCTCAATAATTTATTTAATAGTATTAAGTTGTATTGCATTAAGTGAGAAGGATTTTGTCACTGCAGCACTGTACGGTAAAGTCAAATAACTCTTATGTCTGTTTGTGTAGATTGTTATATAAAGAGTTGTTTAAATATGTGTTGATAATTAGCTATGTATTAAGATCTAGGCAATTTTAATGGGAGAGCCTTAATAGATAAAACTACATGTGGAACGGTTACTTTAATGTGCTTTTACAGACTAATAACAATGCTTTCAGGTGACAGCTATAATCAGAGGGAGAAGGCAGATAAAATTCACTGGAGTTGTCAGTTTGCTGTATGTGGTCAGGACATGTTGGTTGTGATAGGAAATGTACTGATTTGCAAATAAATTAATGTTTACTTTGAAAATGGATAGCCTCTTAGCAGCTGGAATTGTAGCTGAGGTATCACTGAAACAAGGTACGTCTGGTCCTGCTTGTGTCTTCCTTAGATCATGAAAATAATAGTATAAAAGTGGATTACAAATTGTATCAAAGAATTATCTTTGATCTATGATCTCTGGATTTGCCCTTTTCAAATCTCTTTACATCACAAATGAAACATGTATACTTTCTTAATTTGTCTCCTGGTAAATTGCGCACATTGCCTTTATCTTTAGAAGACTTAGGTCAATGCTTTCAAAAACATCAAAATACCTTTGCAAGAATGAAAGGTATCCAGAAGTCTGAAGTGCTTGACTCCTCTCTGCCACTAAGACTCAATTCTTCTGACTTCCCTTTTTTTTTAAACAAACAATTACAATGTGATGTCTTAACATTAGTAAAGAGTATAAATTGTGCCTGAGCTCTGATACATGACACAGTTTCAAAGGAACATATTTGTTATTAACCTGGGTATCTCTGTATATCCTTGTTGTTTCAGATACTTTTGACAAGATTCCTTAGACAAATCACTCATTGTTTTTCAAATATGCAACATAAACTTTGAAAATCAAGCTTGCAAAAAAAAATTCACGCCAAAATTAAAAAAACCTACATACATTTAAACTGATTTAAACTCAGAGTTAAGGTTCTGTTGCAAGGAAAAAAAAACTAACCAGAAAATGATAAGATTTATATTGTGAGATGGAAAAAGGGCCCTTATTAACTTTGGTTAGACCAAATACAGGGTAGGTTTATACTCTGGCAAAAATCGAAAAATAATTAAACTGAAGAAATATATTTTTGCTCTAATTTGGATCAGATTTATGCTGACTGATTTTAGATATAATTAATATCAAATTCTGGTATATTGTACTATTTTTTCCATTTTTGATGCTATGTAATAGCTAAAATCAAGGAAATAAATAGCAGTATCATTCAAAGAGGTGCTAATTCTGTCAAATTAATGACTTTCATGAGAAGCATCTATGGAATGTGTTCTTTCTTGACACAAATCTGGAGCATAATATGAAAGATTTTTTAAAATTATCCATCTGTAAATTGGAGAACAAATAGACATTAACCATAAAGCAAACTGGTAAAAATCCTGAGAAATAATCTTCAATAATACCTGTGCAGAAGACGTGTAAGTCTTATTACTTTTCTATCATAATTTAAAATACACATAAATCAGAAGTCTGGATACCTGAGCCAAAATTAGTGACCTGAAATTCTGATTGGATTTGGAACTTGGAGCATATACATGGACCTATTGATTTTGGTGAAGAGTGTAAAGCATCTCTCTTGAGAAGGCCAGAAGGAAGAGTACTCTTAGTATTTATTCTAAAGAATTCACAAATAATCATTTGGTTTTTAAAATATTTATTTCTCTTTAACTGTTATAAAAAAAATTTCCAGTGATTTCCTTTCACTTTAACAGAAGAGAATATACTTTACAGACTGGTCAGAAATAACAGAACTTAATTTAAAAAGTGTTAGTATGAGAACTTGTTTACTTTTACAAAAAGTTGATCTTTTTTCTTTACAAAAATTTACAAGTGTAAATTGAATATAAGAATTTTTTGAAGCGTAATTTGAATAAAGAAAATATCTCTTCCTAGAAAGTCATGCCCAGACTTCTGTGGCTCTGATGACACAACCACTGGAAAAATGCTGCCTTTATTTGCATCCTTCCAATTTCTAAAATCTGTAGATTTCACCTGTTACCAAGAGAATTCTTAGTGACCTGTAAAGTAATGGAAGTTCTCTTTTAACTCTCCATTGGGTAAGAACGATCTAGATGAAGTGAGGAAATATCCCATTTACACCTGCTCCCTAACACAAAACCAAAACCACGACTTTCTCCTCAACAGCGCGTGCAGTATTTAAGTCAATATGTCTGCAGATAGTTGTATCTTTTCTAGTCCTCCCCCTGTTTCTGGATGAGTAATCTAAGATTAAAAATGGATAAAATTTCCTGATCTTAGTATCTTGAAAAAATTCGTCTGAGGATATCATTATTCGAGAAACATTTACTACTGCAATTATATTCACATGTCCTATGCCTGCTTTGACAGAGACTTTGTTGAAAAGTACCTTTGGAGGACGAATCCCCAAGTTTGTTTCCTCACCCTAAACTGATACTGGGGTAGGAAATTCAGGAAACTAGGTGTTATGAGGGGGCCACTGCCAGTATTCTAAAATTAAAAACTAGTAAATTAGCCCCACCCTTGTGCTTGCTAACTGAGAAAGGCATAGAATCATAGAATCAGCTGAGTTGGAAGGGACCTCCAAGATCATCAAGTCCAACCCTTGATCCAACACTGCCGTGGTTACTAAACCATGGCACTAAGTGCCACATCAAGCCTCATCTTAAAAACCTCCAGGGACAGAGAATTCACCACTTCCCTGGGCAGCCCATTCCAATGCCTGATTACTCTCTCTGTAAAGAATTTCTTCCTAATATCTAACCTAAACCTCCCCTGGCACAGCTTAAGACCGTGCCCTCTTGTCTTAGAGAGCTTATACTTCATGATGCAGTATACGTCAATAGTTCAAGGAAGGACCAAGCTCTTCAAAGGAAGTGACCTGCTCAGCACCGGTGGGACCATATCTGGAGTGGGATCACATCTAGGGTGCTGTGTCTAGTTCTGGCCTCCCTGGTCCAAGAGGCGCTGACATATTGGAGTGAGTCTGGTGAAAAGCCATGATGATGGCTAAAGACTTGTAGAAGTTTTTGGGCGTTTGGTTGGTTGGTTGTTTTTTTACTGGGTGTCCAAGCACTGGAACAGGACGCGTAGAGAAGTATGTAGGTCTCCGTCCTTGAGGGTATTCAAAACCTGGCTGGACATTATACTGAGCAACCTGCTCTAGCTGTCTCTGCTTTATGCCAGTGTTCAACTAGACAGTCTCCAGGGTTTCTTTCAAACCTCAGCCATTCTATTAATCTGGGGTACAGGTATTGCCACCTTTATAATTTCTTAGTGTTGAGAACAAATTTTATTGCTGGAAAAAAAAAAATTCCTGCAATATTTTCATGTTGAAGTATCTGATAGACAAAATCAGACTCCTTTAGAGAAGATGAACTTTGAAGAACATTCACAAAAATGCTGGATAATTATTAGGATACATCACATTCAAGACATATGACCTTGCAATGATTTCCAGACTTCTTGAAGTAATGAGATGAACTCTGAAATTTTTGCTGAATGACTCCTCAATCTCTTCATATTTTCTCCCTTTTGACATGGAAAGATGTTCAACAACCTAAGAAGAACTGTCCAAACCTCACTTTCTAGTTTCAGGTTGCTGATGTAGCTGACAGTATGATTTGAGATAGTTCCGTACCTCTTCTGGTAGCCATGAAAAAGCATGTAAGAAAGAATGCGGGTGAAGCCCATCTTATGTTTTGCCATTATTTAAGTAGTTAATATGTAATTTTCCACTGTTGTCTTCAAGTTATGTGGTGGAATAAGTTAAAAAATGTGTGTAATGTTTTCTTAAAGGAAGAAAAGTAGATATACTTTTTTTTTATTTATTCCTGTAAAGTTTCACAGTTTGAGTCTATTTTGAAAACCACCACAGCTGTCAAAAGAAGGGTCAGATGGAGAGATTTCCATTCCACTTTTATTCCTTTCCATGCCATTCCATTTTCCAGTATTACAGTTGGAAAAAAATAATTTCACCGTAGTATGGAGCACAGGAAAAAATGAGGCTCTGTTTCTATTGATTGGAATTTTGAAGAAGTTTTCCCAGTGTGCCATGGAGTTCTTCAAGAAACTAGGCAGTTTATATGTAATTTTTTTGACTTATTAAGATAAAAATAAATATTATTTTAGTTCAAAGAAATGTGCAGTAGTTCTCATGTATGACAGTTCAATTATAAATCAACTAATTTTTTGTTTCATAGTGTTTTTCAAATACCAAACAAAATTTAAATTGCAGTAAATAAATTTTCATTTATTTAAAAAAATGTATTATTTAAATACATATTTAAAGATCGGATCACATTCAAAGGCATTCCAACAGATTTGGAAAGAAAATACAACTCATGAAGACAGTCCTTCGATTCAAAGACTTTATAAACGAGCAAAGAAAATGAATTGGGAATGAAGATTATTGTCCCCATGCATCATTTAATGAGTAAATATTTTGTAGATTACTAGTAGTCAACCATATTATTTGAAAGATGTTCTGTTCTCCATCAGATCTATTTATAATTAAAATCACTCTATGGACTAAGTAGTTTTACCGCAAGCAGATGCTAGAAAGAAAAGAAAAACCTATGAATTTGATTTGTTACAGGGGCATCTTTATTTGTGTTGTTTGACTAGGTTTTTAATCACAACAATTTTTCATTACTTTGTTTCCTTCATTCTAGAGAGCACAATCAGATGAATTAGAAAAAATAGAAAAGCATAGCAAGGCATCCAAGGAAAAAGAAAACGCGAAGTCTTTGGATAAGCCGGAACAGTAAGAATATACTTCTGAAAGAGCAGTTTTGCTCTCTTTAGAAAACTTTCTCTGTTGTTGTAAACTATGTAGAGATGTTATGAAAAAAACCTTCAAACCTGTACCTACTAAGAGTGACTCACATCATTTTTTTAATCACTCCTACAGGTTCCTCTATGAACTCTCACTAATTCCCAACTTTTCAGAACGTGTATTTTGCATCCTGTTCCAATCAACATTTTCAGAAAGCATTTGTTCAATCCGTCGCAAACTTGAATTGTTGCAGAAACTGTGTGAGGTAGGTTGTGCTCTTAGAAAAGGTAGTTCTAAATTTCTGATATTTAATCTTGTTAAGTTGTACTCATATTTCAAAAGTTTTTACTCTATTTAAGTACTCATTAAATATTAAGGATAGTAGAATAGAACATTTTATGATTGTACTTCAACATCAAAGTGAATTTTAAGATTAGATTTTGGTACTGAATTATATCATGTTTTTGCCATCAATGTATATCAGCCTCTGGAAAATAGTGTACATTCTCCTTTCTTTTGTTAAAGCAAAGTCTTCACTCTTCATAGTGACCATATCACTCCTTTCCAGAGGAATACTAGTTCAGCACACTTTGTATTTTCTTGGATTTTAGAAGTGTGCCACTCAATAATATTTCTGATATCTAAAATGAGTTAGAGATAGCAATGTTGTATCTAGTCCGAAGAGATTACTGGAATTTTGTGACCCCATGCAAAACAAATACATGGCTTTAAAATGCAGGTTAAACAGTATTTTAATAGCTGAAAATTAGTTCAAATATTTCATGTTTTATTATGTAATATTTTTTATTTGATTAAGTGTTTTAGTTGTTCCATGTGGGTGTTTTATGAACATCTTGATGAATTTTCCCTGAAATTAAATAGACCATTCATAATATCAGTATCAGTTAAAGATTACTATTTTCATTTTTCTCAACAGGTCATCTCCAATAATACTTTATAGATTTCTTATTATTTTTTCCAAGTATCCAATTTGGACATAACATTCTCCACTCACAGAAAGTTACATATTAATATTATCTACTTCTACATGTTGCAGTAGAAGGTTGTTAACTACCTATATTTGAGTCTTTATATAAGTATTATTTCTAAACACGGTAACAACAAATGTGCTTGTTAACTAAATATTTTTGTGACTTGAAACAGAATTTTTTTTTCTCTCTTTGTTTTTTAGACATTGAAAAACGAGTCAGGAGTTATGCGGGTCCTGGGTTTGGTTCTTGCCTTTGGAAATTACATGAATGGTGGAAACAGAACACGAGGACAGGCTGATGGATTTGGACTAGATATCCTGCCAAAACTGAAAGATGTCAAGAGCAGTGTAAGTTGATTCTAGACTTCCTGAAGGCCAGAGAATCTTAAATTCTCAGAAAACTAATTTATCTCCATTTCTGAGTAAATGGTGTGAAGCTTAGAAAGGCATGTGGAAGGGAACTCTTTTGTTGCTATACTTATTTGATCATACTTCTTTTCACTGCTGTACAAATAAAAATACCTGAAGTTATGTTTTAGTTCCTAATCTCATGTGTATTTGACTTTCAGTACACTGCATAGTTCTAAATTTTCCTGTATTTGGAAGCAATACTATGATCTTACTCATTAAAGTTTATTACAGAAGTGGAAGGAGTTGTCAAAGAAAAGTTAACTGTGATTTGATACTGATTCAAAATATTTGTGAGGGAAAAATATAACTCCTGAAAATGATAGAATAGGCATCCAGAGCATTTGAGGTAACCTGAAATTTATCCTTTGCATTCATCATAATTACAGAGTGTGCATTTGGCACTGGATCGTGGACCTACCTGAGTAAAGTACTTGTTGAGTCAAGATTTGTCTAGTATAGTCATCTAAATAAGGAGAATGATAAATAGTGTTTTTTCTGTGCTAAACTGGAATTTATGTGTTACCAGCACTTTTTTTGGCTCTGGTTATTCAGATTGGATTATATTCAAATATATGCTTTTGTTTACAAGGAAACAATAATCTTAGAATTTCTATTGCTATAATGAAAAGACTTATATGAATGTGGACTATAGTATGAGAGTTAAAATTGGTTCCTATATCTTTCTAGAAAGTCACTGTCAAGATCTTCAATTCTACAAGTGGCAGAAAAAAAATAGGTTTTTTTCCCTGATTGATCCCTTACTAAATATAGATGCTTTAGCTTCTGGGTTAGGTCGTGTGAGTAGATAACCCTGAGCTGAGACACCATGTCAGCCATTTGCCTTTAAAGGAGTGGAGGAAACCAGTGCGTGCTGGTTTCTTTGGTAAACCAAGGGAGTGATGATGTGAATGACACCTTAGTACAACAGGTTTGGGGCAGCTTACTTTAGCTGAACCTTCTAATTGACTAGATACAGTGTATCACCAGTTTTAGAACTCTGGTAGAAAATTTAGGCATGCTAAATGTAGTTTGGTGACTCAAATCCTTAGTATGTAATTTGCTGACAATATTATGACTGCTGATGTTGCAATTGAAAGATACATTTTCAGTTTATTTGCTACCGATCAGTCAGAAAAGTTCTTACATAATAGTTTTCTGAAAATATCTGAAAATGTAATTCTGTCAGACATCTTCTTCAAATGGAATATCTTCTGTGAAGTTTTATTGGAAATTGCAGAGGGGAAACAAGGACAAAGTTCCCTCAAATACCCCCCGCTCCCACCCCAAGTTTAATTTAGAAAAATAACTTTCTTTGTTTAACTTAACTTTGCTTTGGTTATAATTATACTATTGCAAAAGAAGTTGCATACATGAACCCAGACACAATTTCTCTTTTCCTTCTTGGGAAATTTCAAAATGTAAGGGTTTGGTTTACAATCAGGTAAATTTTGAAAATAAGGAGTGCATTACATGGCTGTTATAGCATATCTTTCTTCATTTTCTTTAGTGATTAAATGATATTTCAGGGTGTGGGGGTTTTTTTTGGTTGGTTGGTTGGTTTGGTTTTTAGTGAAGGGACCAAATCTGCATAGTATTTTTCTTGACAGTAAGTATTTCATTTATTTGAATTACCTTTTCTGAATATTTTCAGTGAGTTTCAGTAACACAGCAAACTTTATTCTCCTCTGTACAGGACAACAGCAGAAGTCTTCTATCTTACATTGTCTCATATTATTTACGTAATTTTGATGAGGTGAGTGAGAATTAATTTTTCTCTTTTAAATTCAAGTTAAAAAAAACAAATTAGCGAATTTGTTCTTCTGCTGGCAAGATGACGAAATATGCACAATTATTCCCTGTGCTTTCAGTTATATATTTTAGTATAGCAAAAAGTAATGAGCACTATGTAACTGTTCATTTGTGGTTTTGTCAGGATGCTGGAAAAGAACAATGCATCTTTCCTCTTCCGGACCCACAAGATCTCTTCCAGGCTTCGCAATTGAAGTTTGATGATTTTCAAAAAGATCTCCGCAAAATGAAGAAAGATTTGCGAGGTACTGAACCTAGATTAAGTGCTAACTATACGTTACCCTGGTGTGTTATTGTTTGTATCATTTTTAGACATTAGATGACACTGTAAAAATATTTGTGTATTTTTGACTCCTCAATTACTGTTTTGTTTCTTTGATTTTCTTTTCCATGACCATTTAAGCAATAACTCATAATTTTCTGTAGATAACCTGAGGTTTTTAAATTAAAAACATCAAACCAGTTAGGTCAAATCTTTTTTTTCAAAACCAAAGCAAAAAGCTAGTTTAGTTTTTCATTTTTCCAAACATATTTTGACAAGTCCTTCACTGTAAAAAGAATTGCAAAGTGTTGGACCATGTCCATGAAAAAAAAAGGTTTTATAATTGCCTGCAAATACTATCTAGCAGACAAAATAATATATATTACATATTGTTAGAGATAGATTAAATAACTGGACTTTACTGAATATGCAATATGCAAAGGTGATATTTTTTTTCCCTCTTGTGAAATGTTTTCTTGAAATGAATTCAACAGGCTTAGGATATGTTTGCTAGACTTTAATAAAAAACATATATCACATAGATTTCTTAATAGCCCGGGGATCTAAGCACTAAGATTAAGCAAGAGTAGTTTGCACAAATGATTCACAATCTTCATTATTTTTGCTATAAGTCCCCATTAGACTGGCCATTTATGTATCGCTGTACTAAATCTTGGAGAGAAAAATCCAGATCAAGGTGTAAAATGATTTTTATATTACTGTTGCCTTGCTGATTTTGAGTGTTATGCATTTAGAGACCAAGGAATGGTTTGGTAAGCCATCCCTGAACAACCTAGATTGGAAGGTTCTCTATTAAAACAAAAACATAACATGATTACCAAATTATATCTTATCTTCCCTTCTTGCTCCTATCAATATTTTTTAGGATGTTTTAAAATTTATCCTAAACATTTTGAGGTAAGATTTAAAGTTGTAACAAGGTCACTTAGTGTGATCATTAGCAGTGAACTGCAGCACCATCCATTTGCTACCTTGAATGATCAAGGGGGCAAAAATCCCACAGTTCAGCCATGAAAACTTATTTCTATGCTTGCAACTGCCAGATAGTCTCAGAGCTGATCTCCAGTCTTGCCATGTAGAAGAAAGATACTTAGGTCTTACTGAAGAAAGGTACTTGAATCCTAGCGTATGTTAACGAACGCCTATGGGGGCAGATTTTATTCCTCACAAATTCACCAAAAATGTTTTTATTTAGATGAAAAATACTTTTAGATCAAGATTGAAATTTCCATACAGACATAAATCTCTTGTGGAATAAATCCACACTGTGCAATGATCAAAGCAGGGGTTCTGTAAAAATGGAAATTTCACGCTTCGCTCTGCCATCAGGCTGCAGTTGAATTCTTTCTATGCTTCCAATCTGCCCTAAGACTGGAGTCTCTGTTGTCAGTCTGTTCTGTAGCTAATGAAACTGAAGAATAAATACAGACACTATTGCTCTTTCCTTATGCCCTTTGGTACAAACTTATTTGGGGACAGCATCAGACTCCATCTGCATCCTCTCCTGGATATGAAGTGACAATTTCAATACCACACTGCAATCTCAATCGTGATTTTATATCAGTCTTGAGAGATTCAAAATGCTTTATATTGACTCTCTTTTCCAAAGAAAAGTGGAACCCTAAATTAAAAATAGTTTATGTTAAAAGATTTTATGACTGTGAGAACATACACTAGAAATTCTGGGTATTCCAATAGCTTAATTTTTGTAATACTTTCAGTGAGATCGAAAAGCCAATCATTTTTAAATAGAGTACAAATTTTAACTGAACGGATAAAATTACTTCAAAGTGGTTTTTTTCTCTGCATTTACTGTAAGTACACTACCAGATTTGCTAATGCACATCTGGAACCTTATGAGTTACTAGAGCTAGCAAGCACCTCATTAAATGACAGAGCAGGAAGAGGACTGTAAGATGCTGAGAAAATTCTGACAAAATACTAAATATGATCCTATCCTTTTGAAGTCAATGAGAGTAAATGAATACTGATTATTCCTGGGAAACACTGACTTTAAAGCCACAGAAATAAATGCCCATGAATACATTCCAGCTTTTGAGATGTGAATTGTAACCCTGGACCTATATTCATCAGTAATTAGATAGAAGATTTCATGAGAGAATTTCACCATTTGGTTGGGTGGGCAGTTTGCTTTGTTCTCTGTCACTGAAAAACTGAAAATTTCACATAACATCAATTCAGGCTGCATGACCATTGCAAGGGTATTCTGTTGATATTAGTTTCAAATACCCTGCAAACCGTGCAGTGAGATGATGCTTATTACAACGAGGAAAAAGGGCATTGGTTCACCCAGGAAAAAAACTACTGAAGATATTTTATTTCTATCTTAAAAAACTTCCCATGATCATTTTGCAAAGGTAGGCTTCATTCTGGAAAGATCCTTTCATAAGATTTTGGGACCATTTAAAAAAAAAACCAGAAAACCCACAAAGTAGAGGAAGGTTATTATTTAAAAAAAAAAAGTTTTATAGCCATAACAATAGCAGTTCATTCTAGCACTGCTGTATTTTTCCATCTAAAGAAGTCAGTAGCATACACAGAGACATTCAGATATAAATAATCTTCATGGTTCTGTAAAGTAATTTCACTGACATGCTCTTTTACAGTTCTGAGTTTGGGTTTATGTTTATATTAGAGTTGTTATGCTGGTTGCTTAAAAAGAAAAAAAGAACTCTTGATGTTCAAACTCCTATGCTTTTGACCTTAGAGGCTATTGCCCATTTTTAAGATTTTATGAACTGTATGCCTTGTAGTTTGTAAAATTTTAGAAAAAAAGTTTTCTCTAATATTTCAGATTAAAAGTGCAAATCCAAAAGACTCTCAGAAGCATGCTATGTGACTGTTCCAAGATGAATATTACAGAAATTTGAGGTATTTTTAAAAAATAGAGATCCCAAGGATAAATTTTATATACTAGATTTTTTGTAAGATAGAAGACCAAGAACAGGTAGATCCTTTTACTAACAAATCAAGTGAGTTTGGCTCCATCTGTAGCTCCCGTATTTCACAGCTCTCCAGGATTCTCACTTTAGCCTTTTTGACTTCAGTGACATATAGTTTGTTAAGCAACTTGATCTGCTTTTGATCTCTCCTGGCTGTCAGCAATGTTCCTTGATGCAGTCATGCCAAGCAATGACTTCTGTTCCTATGTCATTCCACAAAAGAAACGTTAGCACTTGCCACATGACTTAAATCAACTCACCGTGTAAAGAAAATTGGGCATCTAGGGTCACAGGAGCAGTGTGACTCTTCCTGATTAGAACCTCTGTCACACAACTATTACTATGTGTGCTTTTCTAGACACCTCAGAATGCTCCAGGTAGGACAGAAAGATGTGGAAAAATGTGTATTGCATCAATTAATGTTCTAATCCTCTCTGCTCTGAAACTCTCTTAAGGTAAAATTGTGGATTAGGAAAATGTTGGATTTGTGGCCCATGAAATTCTTCAAGATACGTATTTAGTTTAGAAAAGAACTAGAACAACAAATTGGCATTGAGAGTTACAGTACTTATGGCAAGTTAAAATCTTCAGAAGCTGTTCTTTGGCTACACATTAACATTTTAGCCTTACAATAGTAAGTTTATTCTTGCTAATCAAAAACTAATTCATCAGTTGTCACTTATTGCAAAACTTTCACTGAAGCTTAGCTAAAAGGGAATTAGAAACAATGTCAGGCAGAAAATAAATCTGACTAGTAGAAGAGATTAATAATACAATACAATGCAGATTGCTATAAAATTGAGTTGAAGTCTGTACTTGTTTATATGTCATAGTCATATTTAATATATTTGATTGAAAAGTGATTACAAGTAATAATTATGATAATTAAACATTATTTTTGTAGTGATGCTTTCTTTTCCTATTCTAAGTGTTTACAACTCATTGAAAAGTCTCCATCCAAAAAAAGCTAGGCTGTGTGGCCCAATACATCTCTCTGGTTTGGAATAAATGTAACAGAGAATGTTTATAAAGTGTTAAGCATTTGCAGAACACTTTGTATTTTAAAAGTATGTTCCAATGAAAGCCCCACAATAACTTGGAAATATACACGTTCCGTATTTTTTCAGTGCTTCTTAGTCACCTAAAATTACCCATTCAGCTTGGATCTTCTAGTTGTAGAGCTGTTATGTGCTCTCATGTTTAACACCTGCTGTGTAAATCAGAGTATAGGAAATACCACATTGTGCAATAGAAAGACTTTTAAAAGTTATATTTGGAGTGGTGTCAATATGGGACTGAGAGAGGACAGTAATAGTCATGCTAATCATTCCTCTTGCCTCTTGCCCTTAACACCTAGAAAGAGGCCCCTACCTGAAAGTGCAGTCAAGCAGTAGTTTGAGGTGGAAGTTGTCCGTGAAGAGGAAAATCTATGTCTGGGGTTACTTTGCAAAATCAGATTGCATCCACTATTAGTTCTTTCATAAGTCATATTAATGTTTACAGGCTAACCTAAAATAAATGCACCGTTCTATTTGCACACCATCCTCTCTCTCTCTCTCTCTCTCTCTCTCTCTCTCTCTCTCTCACACACACACACACATGCTCGTACACGCATCCTTGTGTATTTTCATATTCCCAAGACTGTTTCCATCACAGTTCTGACTATGGGGCTAAGACTTTGGCAACATTTCAATGCCACTTCTTGAGCAGGAGTGGTATTAATTTCAACCTCAGTTAACAAACTTGAGCAGCCTTAAGCCATTTAAGGCCCCAATTCAGACGAAAGAAAAGGAAGGGATTGCTCTCCTAAAGGAGAAGGACATTCTTAGGATTGATTGATTTTCCTCTAAGGAAAGGTCTTGAGTCTAGTCTGGTGGTCTGTCTTTTAAATAGCTAAAGTTTGATGAAATAAAGTGTATCCTAAGAGGTTTCCCAAAAATTTCAGACTTTTTAATATGTTTGTACACTGGTATTTCAAGTTTCAAAAGAAGACAGAAAG